CAGAGCCCGCCTACAGGCCACGCCCCAACCTTTGCCCCCGCCCCCTCCGGCCCCAAGCGCCTAGATTTGCACCTCCTCCACTGCTCCCAGGAGTGGGCCCTGTGGGAACCTTCCCTCCCCCGTCCCTCCAGCCCAGGTGCTTACGTTGTCTGTTGCACTAAATAGAATGATTCTTAACTTTTACCCGTCGGATTGCCTAACATGAGTGACAGGGGCCCTCTCCCCAAGTTACGTCCATGGCCAGAGTTTTGCAGCCTCTATTCCACAAAGTCACCGGCCGCAGGAGGTCCGCCAAGGCGCAGTCAGGGCCCCAAGGGCTCCCTGTGGCTTAGTCTGGACCCCAAGAAAAGCAGCGTATATGACTGCAAATGCAAAAGCAAAGACTCCAGGTTGGGAAGATCTGGCTCCTTGTTCTACTTTTGTTTCTGAGACAGCCTCCGTAACCTGGCTTGTCTGTGATTTGCTGTGTAGACCAGGTGGGCCTGAAACTTTCGCCATCCCCCTGCCCCAGCTTCTTGCCGGAATTACAGGCGTATGCCATCATGTCTACAGACTTTTTTTAAAGATTTATATTTCTCATTTTTATTTATACCTGTATGTGTGTGCCATGTGTGTGGATGCCTACAGAGGCCAGAAGAGAATGTTGGATTCCCCGGAACTGCAGTCAGAGGCAGCTGTGAGTCACCCAGTGTGGGTGCTGGGAAGAGCAGCACTTCCTCTAAACTGCACAGTCTTGGTTTCTTAGCCTATCCCTGTGAGTGTGTCCTCGGGTAAATTAACGGCCTTTCTGAACTCCATTTTTCTTATCTATAAGTGATAACCCTGACAATTTCTTGGCACTGTAAAATTCCAAGATTCTTTGATGCTAAGATTTTTTTTTCGGGCCGATTTCTCTGTAACTAGGAAGATTAAATTGTCCGGGGCCATTCCCCAGCTTCAATCCCGGCTACTGGCCAGCTTTGCTGTCCTCAAAACTGGAAATGTCTCTGCTCTGCTGAAAGAAAAGTCTCAGCCACAGTTCATATACCATGAGACAAACAAATTATTTTGTTTTCAGATGTATAAAAGCATTTGAGTCTCAGAAAATCCTGCCAGGTATGTAGTAGGCCTAGGGACCCCAATGCCCTGATGCTATGAACTGGGGACTCTGGTAGTGTAGAATGGGCTCCAATGAGCCAAGCCCATTACTATATCAGTCTAAGTCATGACTTATCTGGCACTAGGAATGCTATTATCTAGTTATCTGTAAAATATGTTTGCCTTACCAAGTGGCATGTATACACCCACACATACACAAAAAATGGAAGTTTAATTAATTGCCATCTGAATTTTCTCAAGTATCCCTTGAGCACCTACTCTCAAAGAAAATCCACAGGGCACTGCTTGGAAGCCTCTTAAAAAAGTTTTTCCAGGGCCAGGCATGGGGGAGCACGCCTTTAATCCCAGCACTCAGGAGGCAGAGGCAGGTGGATCTCTGTGAGTTCAAGGCCAGCCTGGTCTACATAGTGAGTTCCAGGACAGCTGGGGATACAGGGAGACCCTGTTTCAAAAAGATCAAAAAAAAAAAAAAAGAAAAGAATTTTTTTCCAAAGCACTGCAGCAGTACTGAACATCAGTACCTTGAGGATCCTGGAATTTGCATGTTTAACAAGGTCCCTCAAATGATGTTTATGCAACTAAATGCACAAAGTCACCCAACAGAGGGGACCAGGAGAGCAAACTGAGTGGCAGCATTCAAGTGTAGAATTCTCCCATGTTCTGAGTGTCATTCTTGTTTATACATGTTTTGTTATATAAATTTTGAGTGTCAAGGCAGTAGCCCACTTGCACTGTCTTCCAGCTAAAATTAAATCTCTGGGATGTACAATATAGCGACACTGAAGTTTCTAAGAATCTACCTGGCCTGAGAAACAGAAGCGATCCACATTTTAAGCTCCAAAGGGCAGGGATCATTTGGGCTTGTTTCATCATTACTAAGGGTCTAGAAGACTGTCCAACATCTGCTAGACAGTGAATATGAGCAGAAGAATGAAGTCACATTGTCTCTGCAAAAATAGCCTGTGTTTTTAACAACCGAGTCCTCTCCCCAACCTCTAAAACAGGGCCTGTTTTAACCAGACCCTTTTGATAAGTTTTCAGTCTATGATTCCTAAGAGCAGTTACTCATGAGTTTCTTCGGTAAATCACCATTTACACTATGAACTTTCAAGGCAGTATTTCTAGATCTGATAAGAAAGTATATTAATAATGGAGAAAGCTTAGGAGAAGTATGAATATTACAATAAAAACACTTCAGAACTGAAGGAAAACTTATAATACAAATCCTCATCATGTTAAAAAATATTTGCTGACTCTTGTGAGGCTGAATTTAAGAGTTCTTCATTCTGAGACTGCTGTTGTTCACTACCAACTTGGATTTTAAGATATCCTTATTAAAATTTTTTAAAATTTTATGAGTATATTGCTTACATGCATATAAGAGCACCCATGTCATGCTGTGCCCGTGGAGGTCAGAAGAGGGCTTCAGATCCCCTGGAACTGGAGTTATGGACAGTTGTTAGCTGCCATGTGGGTGCTGGCAACCAAACCTGGGTCCTCTGCAAGAGCAGTCAGTGCTTTTAACAATTTAGCCATTTCTCCAGCCCCCTAAACTATCTTATTTTTTGTTTTTTAGTAACCTCACCTGATAAATTAAGATCATCTATCTTGTCCTTGTTTTGTTTATACTTTTAAAAGACATCATTTTTACTCATGTTTACAAGCATGTCTGTGTGTGTTTGTGCAGGTAAGTGTAGGTGCCCAGGAAAGTCAGAGGCTTTGAATCCCCTGGAGCTGGAGTTACAGATGGTGGTGAACTGCTCAAATGGGTGCGGGGAATGGAATTCAGGTCCTATGCAAGGGCAGCAAATGCTCTTAACCACTGACCCGTCTCTCCAGCCCCTCTTCAACTTCTTTTTTAAAAAAATATATTGGCCATCAAATACCAAAGTCTGGGAATCACTAAAAGAATGCATAAAGCTAGCAATATCAGGTTCTTCCTATGAGGTAAGCCCTTTAAACCAATTATTTGGTAGTATAAACAAAACAAAACACTAATTATTTCCTTCAAAACATCTGTTGAGAACTGTTACCATCTTTCTAGTTCAAATAAAGCAATGGAGGTCTGTAAGAGCTAAAGGATAGTTTAAAACTCAAGATAATATAACCTAGTAACTCATCAGACAAGTAGTTGTTATGGTTAGTTTTGTCAGCCTGACACTATCTAAAATCACCTGGGGAGTCTCAAAGTCTCCATGAGGGATAGTGTGGATCAGGTTGGCCTGTGGGCATGTCTGTGGGGGACTGTTTTGATTCATGAGTGTTGTCTGAGTTCACTTAGGGTCCCTTGTTCTTGGCGCTATTAGACAAACCATGTAACACATCTTTGTCTGAATTTTTCATAGTTTATATCCTGGGTAGGGGAAATGGAGTAACTTACAAAGGCAAACACCCAGAGCCTCATACCCGGTGCCCCGTTCTGCTCTGTGGCTCAGCAGCCTGGCATTCCAGACCACTTCCATGGCCCACCCACAGTCTCTTGTTAGCTTTCGCCCACGGCTCATGGGCCCACAGTCTTGCCCCAGGTTGGTAAATGCCCCATCTCACATCCGCACAGGTGAGACACCAGGGCCATTTTTTTTTTCTGTGCTGCCATTTCTGTCCAAGATGGCTCCAACACTCCTCCACAGCTAAATCTCTGAAGCCAATTCTCCACAGCAGGCCCCATCCCTCAGAGGAAAAAGTACCCCTCGGGACACCCCTTCCTCCAGCTCTTACAATCTTTCCACCAATCTTCCACTAAGGTCCCTGAGCCTTAGAGGAAGAGACAGATGTAGGACGATCTCTCTTGTATCATGGTGAGATAGTGACTTCTTGGGCCTCCCCATTATTCATCTTCAAGCTGTGGCTACTGATCTATCTCAGTGGTGTTTCTTCTACTATAAAGACAAATGGAAGGAAGTAGACACATCTAAACAAACATGAATGTAAATACAGCTGCCTAGAAGATATCCCAGTAGGTGTACTGTATTCATTAAACAGCATACTTGTGATGGCTTCCCCACTAGGGCCTGTAGCTGCTCTCAACACAGGGGGTTGGCCTGGCCTACAGCACCAGATGTGTGTTCCACCCCTAGGAGCAGGCCTTAATCCAATTAGAAATTTGTCAGTTGTACATATGTTGGTCAAGCCATTATTGCACTTGCAGGCATTGCTTGACATGTCCATAGTGTACAGCACACAGGGTCCATTGTTGAGTAGAATCATAGGGGATCCTTTCTTTCCCAACCATCTTCATAGCGCCTTCTGGTACTATGAACGTCATCCATCCAGTGGCATGGAGTTTTTTTGGTTTAGTCTCAGCTCCATCTCTTCTCCTCCTGTGCTCACATCATGCAGTGTCTTCAGCAACATGGCCTTACTGACCTTTCTAGTGTACAACCGACATTAGTGGCAACAGCCTTGGTAAATTTGAGGACCCCTAGGATCTCTCTCTGACCAACAGCTCATAGGAGGGGCAGCCCATCCCTGGTATTGTAGATTTTCTTAACAGTTGTGCAGTTTGGGAGCCTCTGTTTTTATCTTACCCAACCATAAAACTCCCAAGAATCTTATAGCTATAGCTGGCCTTTGCTTCTTCAGGTATCTTTCAAATGGGTTTTATAACTGTAAAACATTCAAAGGAAGGTTAACATCCTATATTAAATCAATCATAGACAAAGTCTATTACAGCA